TCCAGCGAGAGGAGTCTGAGTACAAAGCGGGATGGTCGGCGGTGTGTTCTCTCATCATCGAGTCGAGTTGAACGCAAAAAAAAACCACAAATATCGGCCTTCTGTTTTGCGGCATGGACCAGTGAGTCGTCCTCCTCGTGCAGAGATGGAAGAGATGACTGACAGAAGTTTCCTTGAACAGCCTTGGCACCATACCATAATTAAATAAGATGTGGAGAAGAAAGCTTGATTAATTTAAAATCTTTGAATCACAGGCAGTAAGTCAACGAAAGACGAAAGGCGCCAAATAATTGAATATTTTATTCTTACGATATATTTATTCGTTTTGTAACATAAATAAAGAACATGTAACAAGTTAAACGCTTGCGGCACTTACTCTATTATGTATTGAGAATGTTATACCAAATTTTATCCTGTAAATAAGCCTAATTAGCCTATGGGTAGATCAGGCTCTGAGTATCTGCGATGTATCGCTTATATGATGAGAAGTAACCTAGGATACGATGTGATCTGACATCATATCCTTCTGACATCTGACTTGTCAGCGAATTGGGGAGCGGAATGAAAACTATTCGAATACAAGGACACACTAACCCGATACAGAAGATATTTCATTCAGTGCAATACTGAGATTAGGTACTGTCATTGATTAAAGTTGCTCTCATCAGAAATATATATCCTGGTATAATTTCACCTGTAAGCTAAAGTGAATGTTGACCTTTACTGGGATCAAAAAATTAGTAAGGTTTTTAAAATTTTACTACAATTTTAAATCACGTAGTGAACATATTTACGTGATAGAGCTTTGCTGCAGATGTAGTATGATGGTAGTACGAATGAGTCGGCTCGACCAGGGATGTACCCAGCGTGAAATAGCAGGCGTAATGCTGCTATATTTAGTATGATGTCACATGTCAGATGTCAATCTAGACAGCGGTAAACACTACACATTTATTCAAAGATGTAAACCGAAAAAGTTCGAGTAGTAATAATAAAGGGTTATGTATAAAAACTTAATTATGTATTGATGAACCGAAAATTGATCTAATGAAAACGTAAACGTAAATAATTTTATGAATTTTTCCTATATTGTGCAGTGAGACCTTGATTTTTGGCAATTTCATATAGATTAGGTCACGGAAGTACCGTAGATTTTGATAAGTGAATTTGCGAGTTTTTTTTTATAGAATTAGGGTGACAAGCGAGCTTGGGCTGTGTCCACCTGATGGTAAGTGAATACTGTGGCCCATAGAGATCCATATCTATCCTCAAATAAGCATCAAAATGCAGATGCGTTGCTACGCCTAAGGACGAAGATGGAATACCTCGTAGCCGATAAATAGGGTTTTCGGTTCTCTACACCATCAAACAAAATACACCAAAACATAGCAGCATTGAGCTGATATTCTGTGAAAGCGTGGTCCTTCTCCGGTCGAGCCAACCCATTCGTGCTACAACCATAACGTAGCTGCAGTCTGGCTCTAACACGTAAAGTATCAAAATATATGTCATACATGGCGGTATTTTGATTGCGTTGGATTAAAATGTTAATATTTTACTACTCTGGAAGACCGCAGAGTGACAGAGAGAGTCTACTTATCGGTCATCGCTTAGAGTAATTTCAGTACATTTGTAAATTATTCTAAGATTCAGTATTTCGAAAACAGTCAACGTTTAAGCAGTGAATATCGCTGGACTTGCCAAGACAGTGCTTGAACCAATTACAGGAACGGAACAATAAAAATTATTTCAATCGACTTCAAAACCAGAGGAGTTTTTCAGTTCTGTATTTTTTAAAGTATGTTACGCGATATTCGCAATGACGCAACCTGGGGAATTAAATGATATCTCGGTATTTGTATCTAAGACATTTTGAAGTTAAATTTCTGCTGAAAACTGAGGGTAGCCTAGTTTGTTCGTGGAGAATTTGTATAAAAAACGTGTGCAGTTCACACGCGGTGGAAGTGAAACCTCATAAAACCAAACATCGAGAGTATGAGACGAATGCAGAGTATCAGGAATGGGATAGTTGTAAGGTTTATATTGTTACATAGTTTAAAATTATTTTATATTTTATTTTAGATAAGTAAATTACATTACACATTATATAAACTCCAAGTTTTTAATTTCATCATAGTAAGTACTTAAATATTTTCTAATCAATAAATTTCGTCTTTAATCCATACTCATAGATCACATTCAGAATCTCCATACATAATAGGAAACACTGTATTCTATCTCATTCTCTCGCAGGCCAATTCATATAGATGTATATGTTTGTCTATTTTTAGTTTTGCATTTCAATTCATCGAGTTTCAAATAAAGAAGTTTTCACTTCAAAAAGAGATCATTTATAATCCTAAGTTTTTCTAAAGAGGTGTATTTAAAATGTTTTAGTCTGGACTTATATGAGAAACCCATTTTGCGTTTTTTGATTAAGAATGCCAGATGCCGTTTCTGGATTCTTTCCAAACTCAATGAGTGTCGTTTGACTAATCCAATGACTATATGTTATTACTAATGACTAATTTTCGAAAAAGAGCCTTTTGCAAGCTCTTACAGTAACATTTTCAATATGTTCTTCGAATGTAAGTTTCTTATCAAATGTTACGCCGAGGTCTGTTATAGAGCTAACCTCTTTTACTACCGCCATATTAATAAAATATCTTAAATTTGACGTAGAAACACTTCTCTACTTTTAGTTTTTACACCAACTTGCAAGACTATTTGGGTCTTTTAAGGTCTTTTTGTAGTAACAATAAATCTTGCTCTGATTCAATTATACTAGAAGTTTTCAAATCGTTGGCGTTCGTGTATGGAGAACAACATGAAAGATGTTCCACAATACCATATGAACTATTGGTTGGACTAGTATTTGCACTGATACCTACTATACTCTGCACTTGATCTTATAAACGTCATACGACATAAAATTTACGATTTTGTAAGTAAGAGTTAAACTATTTTAGCATGTTTCCAACAATATCCACTTTGTCTTGCTTAAATCAGTATAATGTTATATAACATCAACCGCTATTGTACCAACCCCAAGCAAGATTGTATAGTGTATTGCTTTAGCTTTACAAAAGCTTAGTCACTCTGGTCCTAAAGACACCCAAAAAGACGCTGGCAAGTTATTCCTCTTATTTGATGTTCGCATTATGAACGACGAAGCGAGCTGTTTTGAAATGTGAGTATGTCTATATTATATCGGAATCAAAGAAGTAAAGAGACTGCGCAGGTCTGGCTGTTCCAGTCTCACACGTCCGTGCGCCTCGGTACACGGGTACACTGTGCTTTATAATATAATGTATAAATTCATTCCAAAATTTCAATATAATTTTTAGCACAAATGTTGGCTATAGCTGGGATTCGAACTAGGAACCCGCCCGCGGCCTAGTAGCCAAAGTATTTTGGCCTCTAGATACGCAGTAAGCGGACATCTTAAGCATTTGATTACACTATAACCGTGTAATGACGGCGTAAGGGAATCCACTACCATGGGGTAGGGTACTTTCCTGATCACTGTTCAATAATACTTGCCAACTATGAAAAATATATCGAAGAAGTTTACCCTGTGAGACCTGGAGGATCCTCGGGGAGGTCTATGATAAGCGGTGGACTTTTAACGAGCTGTTATGAATTAATGAACTCTATTAGCACACAGTAAAGGTTAACTATTTTGAAAAAACTGCTACCGATTCATAATATATTAAAATACATATTTCTGATATGGGTAAAATTAGTTTTGATATATTGCATTCTAACGGTTGTGTGGGAACGTAGCTAATTCTATAGATCAAAATGGTAAAAGAAAGAGAAGATTACACGCCCTAATTTGGACAGGACCGTTACTACAAAAAGTTTGCTTTTTTGTAGCATAACTTTAATGGACTGCGTATCTGCGATTTATTTTTTTCTTCATTTTTTTATGCAACAAGATTTCGATGTTCAGTAGGCTCAGCGGGGGCGATTAAAAATGCTTAGTCGATATCTTAATATCTACGAATAATATACGCTAGTTGCAATTTTTTTTTTCTATTATTAGCTAGGATTCTGCTGCGGCTTTGCACGCACGGGTGATATCTGGATCTGCAAGACCGCCACCTTCAAGGTCCAACTATGCTATAACCTTCGCGAAAGTGCAAGCAATACGTTGACAAAATTTTACTAGAATCTGATGAACGGTATGGCAGCGCATAAATTATGAACAAACAAATATTAATTTTTATATATTAGATTTAAATATTCAACTTTTTTGTTAATTTTAATACTTATAAATTTCAATGTTCTTGCATGGATGAAATGAGTACTTATTAATCTTGGTGTTAGGTTTTCTTTTTTGTTCAGGTGTGTAAAATTTAAGTTGGGCTCATACTGTCTGATGCCTGCCGCCAAGCAACAGTACATCGCTGTTATTGCCTAGTCTGATTGGTGAGTGATGGATGTGTAATGTAGTAACATTACAGGCAGTGAGGCATTTCATTTTTTTCGTGGATGTCACAACGAACTCGAAGAATTATTTATGTGAATTTATAGTTGCAAATGTTAATGATCTGCTGCAACCACTTACCATCAGGCGGACAATAAGCGTAATGTTATAACACAGGTGTATTTGTGTGCGTGCGTGCGTGCGTGAGTGTGTGTGTCTCCTTTGTAATATTCATTTACATATTTTTTAAATACTTTCATGCAATTCAATATATTTTAATTTGTGTTTAAAGTGTCCTTAAACTGAAAAGTCATTGCCATTAGTAAATTGCAATGACCTGCGATACGCTTCGTGTGATAATGCGGTTTGGAACCTGCAATGTATGCTCGTGAACGTCTTATCAACCTAAATCACGAACGTCTGTATCGTTCTAACGTAAATAAATATACAACTATATACATTTAAATAAAATTAAAGTGCATGTTTTTAATGTCGAAATAACTGCCTGATATTGAGCTCAGAGTGTTATTTGCATGACAATAAGACACGGATAACTATTTTTAAAATTTTATCTGTTTCTGTTTGTCTGTCTGTCTGTCCGTATGTCCGTCTGTCCAACTGTCCGTCTGTCCGTCTGTCCATCTGTCCGTCTGTCCGTCTGTCCGTCTGACCATCTGTCCGTCTGTCCGTCGGTCCGTCTGTCCGTCTGACCATCTGTCCGTCTGTCCGTCTGTCCAACTGTCCGTCTGTCCGTCTGTCCGTCTGTCCGTCTGACTATCTGTCCGCCTGTCTCCTGTCCCCCTGTCCGTCTGTCCAACTGTCCGTCTGTCCGTCGTCTGTCCGTCGTCTGTCCATCTGTCCGTCTGTCCGTCTGTCCGTCTGTCCGACTGTCCGTCTGTCTGTCTGTCCGTCTGTCCGTCTGACCATCTGTCCGTCTGTCCCCCTGTCCGTCTGTCCACCTGTCCGCCTGTCCATCTGTCCGCCTGTCCGTCTGTCCGCCTGTCCGTCTGTCCGTCTGTCCGCCTGTCCGTCTGTCCGTCTGTCCGTCTGTCCGCATGTCCATCTGTCCGCCTGTCCGTCTGTCCGCCTGTCCGTCTGTCCGTCTGTCCGTCTGTCCGTCTGTCCGTCTGTCCGTCTGTCCATCTGTCCGCCTGTCCGTCTGTCCGTCTGTCCGTCTGTCCGCATGTCCATCTGTCCGCATGTCCGTCTGTCCGCCTGTCCGTCTGTCCGTCTGTCCGTCTGTCCGTCTGTCCGTCTGTCCGTCTGTCCGTCTGTCCGTCTGTCCGTCTGTCCGTCTGTCCGTCTGTCCGTCTGTCCATCTGTCCATCTGTCCGCCTGTCCGTCTGTCCGCCTGTCCGTCTGTTCGTCTGTCCGTCTGAGTTAAACTTCTGAATGGCTAAAACGATTGTAATAACACTTCTCATACAGATAGAGAGCAATGTCAGAAGTGGTCTAGATATACGTGGTAGAGCCATGCTGCAGTTATATTAGTAATATACTTATAGCAAGAATGGGTCAACTCGGCCGGGGTAAAACCACGCTCTCACAGAATACCAGCGTAAAGTAGTAGCTTAATGCTGCTGTCTTTCGTATGGTGAGTGTAGAGAACCGAAGACCCTTTTTACTGGAAACGAGGCATTCCACCTTAATCCTCACGGGTGAGAACGCATCTGCATTTTGATTCGTAATCGGGGATAGATGTAGATGTCTATGGGCCACAGCAAGCACTTACCATCAGGGGGACTGTGTGCTCGTTTGTCAACCTATCCTATAAAAAAAAGATGGCTGACAGAACTAGTTCGTCTTCCTTCGAGAACACGTGGATTCTGGTCTCTCGCCAAGGCTGCCCAAGGGAACTTCTGTCAGCCTTCTCTCCCATCTCTGTACTTTAATATCTCTTTCGTATTTGGCTAGTCTCTGTTAATATTATTGTTTTAAAATGCTTAAATGATAATAAATGTATTATTACTTTATATTTTTCAGGAACAGATGATAGAGAGTAGCCCCATAAAATACCTAAAAACTATATTTTATTCGAAAAATTGTCAATAGATAAGTCTATATTATGTATAGATACATATAAATTAAGTTTAATTCTCGGTATGTAATATCGAAATAGCTGCCTAACATTGAGCTGAGAGGGTATATTTTCCTGCCATTGAGACAATTATTTAGGTCTGCTTGCCTGCCTGCCTGTCCGGGCTAACCTTGGGGATGGTTGAACTGATTGTAATAAAACTTCACAAAGTGATCAAGAATGATGTAAAGTGATCTATGCTATTCTTTATCCAATAAACTTGGCAATTTAAAAAAAAAAAGAAAAAAAATGGCTTTTGATTATCTTAACTCCAAGTAACGCCATTGTTATTTATATTAGTTATATAATATGGCCAGTATTATATACTAGCGGTCCAACTTACATATAAGCTTAAGTACATAAGTCAAGAAATGTGGTGCTAAAAATAAATATTTGATAGTATACCGAACTTTTGCGTGTAAGAATTCAGTCCAGTAATTTTTAATATAAGTATATCTTTCGTGAATTGTAAAATATTTATTGCTTTTTCTAAAACTATATGTTAAATTTCTATATTTCGTGTATAATCAATCGTTTATAATCGTGTTAGGACGTATCTAAGACAATCCTTTATATCAAATAAGTAAAAACATTATAGTACCTACTCATACAGACTTATTTTTCAAAGAGGAGCCAAATTTTAAACTTTAGGTCAAATATATAAATAATGATATACCGTTATTGCAGTTTTTAAAAATACAAGTAAATAAGGCTTCTATTTTAATTTGAATTAATAGTAATACCACAGAATAAATAATAGTACCTACTACGTAGTAATACTTCAAATTGAATGGTGTTTATGGGCAACAACGTTTTTGTCAACCCATCGACCTTTACGTATGTGTGCGTGCGCAGTAAAATCAGTTAAAATATTGCATTACCACGCATTTTTTTATTAAAAAAAGTAAAAGTACAGAATATATAAGAATTTTTTAATCACTTCATCAAAAATATATAGAGCGAAAGTAAAAAATTCAAACACCCAAAATTCTCATATAAAGCATGATGAAGAAGCTGAGAAGGAGAGAAAGGACACTCCTACCCTCTCTGAAGATAAGTAAGTAAGTAATAATTTTTCTTCACCATGCCTATATTACTTATGCCTACATGCCTATATACTGAACCTTCTCTGCAAATTTGGCCGGTTATTGCAAAATAACCCTGTGTTTAGTACCTACCTACTTATATATTTTCCTTTTTGCCTTTTGGAACCATTTGTAGGTTACTAATGTTTAAAACCATTTTTTGTGTTATATGGCAAATGTATTAGTATATGTTTCATGTAGCTAAGTGATTCAAATTTGACGGTATTTTTTATTATAAAATGCGGTAACTCAATACAAACGTGAGTTTAAAAATTACAGTTATCGATTTAAGATGCTTGTTACTTTTTTTAGCATAATTCGTTATTTTGTGTTTAATTTTATTTCATATTTATTCAAATTCATAAGCTATTCCAATCCAATATCCTAAATAAGATACGGAGAATTATCCATATACATAAGTACGCTTTTTTAACGAAGAGACTAGTGTCATGTCCATGCCCTTCACCAATTTTTTAAAACGGCCGAACAATAAAAGCTTTTTGGCAAGCTTTGAAAATCTTGGTTCATTAGACCCAAAGATAAATAGAATTTATTTTAGGCTTCGAGCCTCAGAGCCTACATACAATTTTGTTTTCTTAAAAAATGTTATCCCACACTAAGATTTTCTACTATATCGTGGAGGCATTTAACATACATAAATTACATATGCACAAACATTTATACTCAGACCAATATATAATGTTTGTAAGCTATACAAATCTTAATGAAATGAATTTTTAACATACTTTATAATAATCGAGATAAAAAATTATATGATTGCCGCGAAACATCTTTGAAGTTCGAGTTCTCGTTTTTTAATATATAACTATACAAATGTAAGGTAATTAACGCACACCCTCAGACACCCCAATTAGTATATTATGTTATAATCATAATACATACACTGAATTTTTAGTTAAACATTTTTATGCACTGATTATTTATCAAATTAGTTATACTAATTACGGAAGAATGTTGTGGTCACAGTACAAATCCACGAACTCAAAGACTTTAACGTGCTTGAAATAAAGTTCATTTTTCTTTATTTTTATTGAATGACAGAATTAGTAATAATACAAATAAAACTGCACTCTTATGAGTCTTATTGCCTTAAGTTACGGTCCATTTCAGTTTGTTATGACTGTACTGATTTAGTGTGACAGTAATATACGTAGTTTTAATTATTTTTGGGATAAAAAATTACCTATATTAAAAATGATAGAAATCGATTCAGTAAACGATTCTGAACAAACTACTTTCTCAAAGTGCGTTAATTATGTTACATGTTGTATAATATTTTTCGATTTTATGAATGGCATGGTTATTAAATTAGATTCAAAATGCAATTAGATGCAAAAATTTTTTTAGATCCTTTATTTTCTGAAAATAAGCAAACACCTTTCGAATAAAGTAACTTGTTGATATTGCTCACCAGTTGTCGCAAGCTTACTTCGTGCTGGACAAATATTACGCATGCAGCGGAGACGGGAGGAAATCCTCATATTAAATATCAATTTGAAGAAAGAAAATATTTGATTGCCTTAAGTGACAGTTGATTGCAAATACATAAAACTCTTCCTACTCAAAAACTAAGGAATGTAGCTTTTCACAAAGTATTTCTTATCATATACTCGTATGTCAAAACCGAATAAAATGTGTAACAAGCTATAAATAAATAATTAATTTTCTGCTACTAATAAAAGCAATGTTTCCTTGCTAGGAAGTTAGGAAGGTGCATCCAAGGCAATAGCGAACAATTGTCGCTAATGCTCAGGGCACAATTTATTTACGAGACAACCGCTAGGGGCGAGCTGGAACATAGTCGTTCAACTGCGATAGAATCGATTAAATAATCAAATTCTTTTTTTTTTATCATTACAGCCTTTTGAAAGTCCTCTGCTGAACATATTATGCCTCCCTGATAGATTGCCTCATATGTTTATCATAGCTGACAGGCTTTTTTTTTATAGGATAGGGTGACAATCGAGCACACAGTCCACCTGATGGTAAGTGGTTGCTGTGGCCCATAGACATCTACATCTTTATCCTCGATTACGAATCAAAATGCAGACGCGTTGTCACCCGTGAGGACTAAGATGGAATGCCTCGTTTCCAGTAAAAAGGGTCTCCGGTTCTCTACACTCACCATACGAAACACAGCAGCATTAAACTACCATTCCACGCTGGTGTTCCCCGGTCGAGGCGACTCCATTCGTGCTACAACTATACTACTAATGTAACTGCAGCATGGCTCTACCACGTATAAATTTATCTATATATATCTGCTTGTCCAGGCCGAGTGGCAACCGCAGTTTTTTTTAATTTGTTATAAAGAAGATGCTGCAATTATTTTCCTTGTGTGTATCCCTTTGTCGCCTCTTAAGACACTTACCCGACTATACAGGGTACGCAAATAATTAAATACGCAAATATTTTTTTACTTCTGTTTTCTGCTTATCATACCATAACCATCTAAGGTAATAATGTCGTTAAACTTAAATACTTACTTTTACATGGCAGAGACACTTTATGTTCATTTGTATTTGTGTTAATTTATTTTATTGGTACCGCTTTTGTAACTTATCGTCCGTAATACATAAGAGCACATTAAAGCGTAAATTACGGAATTACACATTCAAAATTACAATAGATACTTTGGCAAGTACGTGAGCGATTAAGGTTAGGTACTTGTTGCCGCGGAACAACACCCTCAAGGGCCTTATGTGAAGGTTTGAGGCGGAAGCAACGGCAGACGTGTTAAGGTGCTACTCCAAGGTTTTTCCTTTCGGAGCGCAAGGAGGACATTGACTCAAGCATTGTAAACAGTTCCTTATCTAGAGCTTCGCTGCGCCTCGCACCGCCGCCATCCTGACGACTCGCACGCAGCTTTTATCTAAAACTAAATTGTTACTAGTTGTCGTCTATATAGAACGCGTATTTAATGTGACAGCCCTTAACGTTCTTAAATTAAAAAATAAGAATTAAAAAAAAACATTTGTATTCTTGCAAATAAACTATAAAAAAGAGACTAAATAAAAAAATGACTTTTTTAAGGTCAAACTATGTAAAAATATTCTTAAGAGAAATGGAAGAAAGGTATCTACCAATAGATGTCATTAATGGTTACATTGTAAAATTGATAAAAGTTAAACGTGTCAATGCACT